CACGACCACACCCCAGCACGACCAGACCCCAGCACGACCCCACCCCAGCACGACCCCACCCCAGCACGACCATACCCCAGCACGACCACACCCCAGCACGACCCGACCCCAGCACGACCCTACCCCAGCAAGACCACACCCCAGCACGACCACACCCCAGCACGACCTCACCACAGCACGACCACGCCCCAGCACGACCACGCCCCAGCACGACCACGCCCCAGCACGACCACGCCCCAGCACGACCACGCCCCAGCACGACCACCCCCCAGCACGACCACCCCCCAGCACGACCACACCCCAGCACGACCACACCCCAGCACGACCACACCCCAGCACGACCACCACACCCCAGCACGACCACACCCAGTCGCACCCCCGTGGAATGTTTCGTGGCGTGTCTGGTTGAGTGGTTGCCTGTTCGTGGGGTGTCTCGTGGAATGTTTCAAAGGTGTCTCGTGGAATGTTTCGTGAGGTGTCTCGTGGATGTTTCGTGAGGTGTCTCGTGGGATGTTTCGCGGGGCCCCAGCACGACCAACCCCCCAGCACGACCACCCCCCCAGCACGACCACCCCCCAGCACGACCACCCCCCAGCACGACCACACCCCAGCACGACCACTCCCCAGCACGACCACACCCCAGCACGACCACACCCCAGCACGACCACACCCAGTCGCACCCCCGTGGAATGTTTCGTGGCGTGTCTGGTTGAGTGGTTGCCTGTTCGTGGGGTGTCTCGTGGAATGTTTCAAAGGGTGTCTCGTGGAATGTTTCGTGAGGTGTCTCGTGGAATGTTTCGTGAGGTGTCTCGTGGGATGTTTCGCGGGGTGTCTCGTGGGATGTTTCGTGAGATGTCGCCCAGTTGGGTATCGTGAAAACGTGACCATGCTGCACATGTCTTTATCCCTTTCCGGGTTCGTGGGTCCATCATGTTTTTGAAATCCCGATCGATAAATCACAGGGTGCGGGCCACCTCAGCACGACCACATCCCAGCACGACCACACCCCACACGACCACCCCAGCACGACCACGCCCCAGCACGACCACACCCCAGCACGACCACACCCCAGCACGACCACACCCCAGCACGACCACACCCCAGCACGACCCGATCGATAAATCACAGGGTGCGGACCACCCCAGCACGACCACACCCCAGCACCACCCCAGCACGACCCCACCCCAGCACGACCACGCCCCAGCACGACCACACCCCAGCACGACCACACCCCAGCACGACCACACCCCAGCACGACCCCACCCCAGCACGACCCCACCCTAGCACGACCACACCCCAGCACGACCACACCCCAGCACGACCACACCCCAGCACGACCCCACCCCAGCACGACCCCACCCAGCACGACCACCCCCCAGCACGACCACACCCCAGCACGACCACACCCCAGCACGACCCCACCCCAGCAAGACCACACCCCAGCACGACCACACCCCAGCACGACCTCACCACAGCACGACCACACCCCAGCACGACCACGCCCCAGCACGACCACGCCCCAGCACGACCACGCCCCAGCACGCCCCAGCACGACAGCACGCCCCAGCACGACCACCCCCCAGCACGACCACCCCCCAGCACGACCCACCCCAGCACGACCACCCCCCAGCACGACCACCCCCCAGCACGACCACACCCCAGCACGACCACACCCCAACACGACCATACTCCAGCACGACCACACCCCAGCACGACCACACCCAGTCGCACCCCCGTGGAATGTTTCGTGGGGTGTCTGGTTGAGTGGTTGCCTGTTCGTGGGGTGTCTCGTGGAATGTTTCACGGGGTGTCTCGTGGAATGTTTCGTGAGGTGTCTCGTGGGTTGTTTCGTGAGGTGTCTCCTGGGATGTTTCGCGGGGTGTCTCGTGGGATGTTTCGTGAGGTGTCGCCCAGTTGGATATCGTGAAAACGTGACCATGCTGCACATGTCTATATCCCTTTCCGGGTTCGTGGGTCCATCATGTTTCGTTCAGCCAGCTTGCCTGCCTGCGCTTTAAAGCCATCTGCTAGCTGAGGGTGAGTTTAGGTGCGTTGGTGGGGACAAGGGTTGCACTGCGGAGTTGGCGCAGGCGCGGGCCGCGGGTCGAGCGTGCGAATATCGTGCACTCCCGCAGGCCCCTGCCTTGCGCCAGCCCACTAAGCTGGCGTTCGGCCCTTCGCAGGCCATCTCAACTGCACCCCTCTTTGATATGCCTCCTCTTGCCTCCTCCCTCCTCCTGCGGCGTTATGATGCGCCCTGAGCGCCTTCAAACGATGAGGGGGGGGGTAGGACAGGACGGGGGCGGGGAGATTCACCAAACCTTGGCGCCCGTGCTGCATGTACGCACTGTTGCAGCAGCTAGTGAGTGCCGCACTAAGCTGACCGTCTCCTCGGCGAATCAGAGCGCAATCCAAAATCCTCCTCTTCCGCCTCCTTCTCCGTAACCATTTTGGCTCAAACCTGTTTGATTCGAGAGCGCTCGGTCCTTGCAGTGGCAACAAGGAGGCGGCCCGAAGGCGTGGCGGCCTTCGGCCCAGCGTCGTGCGGACATCGATCCCATCGGCCCATCAGCGGCGCGCCGCTGCGAGGCGGCGCCGGCGGCAGGCGGCGGCGGAGGCTGCTGTGCGCGCTGCCGATGCTTGCGGCACTCCTGGATCGTGACAGGATCGCGAGCTCGCTTCTCGGCCTGCGCTGCGGCGGCTGGCCAGCGGGCTCCGCATCCCTGGGTCCACGAGGCGGCGCCGCAACACCGGCTGGCACTCCGAGAGGGTGCCGCTCGGGGGTTTCGCTTCGGCTTCTGCCAGCGGCATCGCCTGGGCTGCTGCTGGTCCTAGGTTGGGCTGGCGGTCGACGGCCGAGCAGCCAGGCAGCAGTGCTTCGGTGCATCCATCTTCTGGGATGCGATGCGCGTGCGGCAGCTTCGTCTTCAGCTCTGCGGGGCTCGTGGGCGACGGCTTCTCGTACGCTGTGCAGGGCGGCCTCAGCAGCGTTTTTTTACGACGCATCTCGGGGAGAGTATCGTGCTGTTCATGGAGATCCTCCCGCTGGGGTTGGCGGAGTTCGCAATGCTGGTGACGTTCCTGAGGCGGCTCAACCTTGCCCTCTGGTCGAGTATCCTGCGCGTGATGTGGTACTGCCTGGGTCTCCGCATCTGGCTGTGGAGTTTGAAGTTCGAGGTTTACGAGGCGTCGAACGCGCAGCTGGTCGCGGAGGACCCCGTGATTGCGGAGTTTCTTCCTGGAGGTCAAGAGGGAGGTGCGCTGGAGACGCCCAGCATGGATTTCGAGTGCGGTTTAGACGTCGACTCCTACGCACGCTGGGTCAACATCCCCTGTATCCTCGATGGGCCTGGATGGGGCGGCCAAGAGGTGGCCATTCCTCCAGCGGCAGGCGGCCAGGCGCAGCTTGGTGGCGTGGCAACTGCGCTGGCGCTGCTTTCGGCGGCGGCGACGCTGTGTTCAAGGCGGCGGGCGGCTCGTTCCAGCCCATGGCCCTGAGTGCTTGTGCGGTTCGCGCGGCGCCTTCGGCGCTTCCAGATCGTCGGCATGTGCCTCAAGGTCTTCAGGGAGTGCGGGTGGACCTTCATCGGGGCGCGGTCGTGCTCGCTCTTCTACAGCTACCTGCTGATGGAGGTCATCAGAGGTTTTCACCTCGGCCACGTGCGGTCGCGGCGTGAGTTATGTCAGGGCAAAATCCTCCTCCTCCTCCTCCTCCTGCTCCTGCTCCTTCTCCTGCTTCTGCTCCTTCTCCACCTCTTCCTCCTCCTCGTGTTCCTCCTCCTCCTCCTCCTCCTCCTCCTCCTCATCACCGTCATCTGCATATCCCACCGGCCCACTAGGCGTAGGTGGTCTAGAGCGCTTTCTCTTCCAATCTCCTTATTCCCCATCGGGGAAGGCTTTACCCCCGCCCCCTCCCTGGGCCTGGACGGGGCGCCTCACGGAAGCTAGAGCGTCGGAGATGACCCAAGACGGCCCCGAGAGCGCCTCGGAGAGCCCAGGATGACCTCCAAGATGGCTCCAGATAGCGCACGACGCCTCACGATGGCTCCCAAAATGCCCCAAGAGGCCCCGCGACCGCCCCGAGACGGTTCCAAGAAGCCTCCGAAACCCCCAAAGACGCACCCAACAAGCAAACATCGTTCAACGACCTAAGAACATCAATGATTTGTGTGTTGTCGCCTTTTTGCTTTCGCTGGCCTTCCAAAGCCTCGAGATGGCTCCAAAGCGGCCCCGGAGAGCTCCAAGAGAGGCCCAAGAGAGCCCTGGGGCGGCCCCAAGGGCGCCCCAAGGGCGCCCCTCGAGCGCCCCAAGAGGCGATTTCTGGGGCTGCCGAAGGGCAGCGCAAATTTTAGTTCTTTTCTGGTTGGTCGATGTCCTCTAAGATGGCCCCGAGAGCGGCCCCAAAGCTCCCAAGATCGTTCCAAGAGGGCCCCGAGAGGCGCCCAGACGGTTGATATGGCCACAACACGATTCCATATTGCTACAAAGCGGCCCCAGGCGACCCCAAAAGACCACCAACCAAAAACAACAAAATCCAAGGGACCTAGAAGCGCACCACGACCTCAAATCATAACACCTCAAGACGTAGAACACGCAACACAAACGTAACACTGATCGATGCCGCCGGAGCAGGACAACGAAAACGAACGATCCCACACGAAACCGGCATGACCCCACTCAGGAAACAACGCGACGAAAACGCGAGCGAGGAAACCTAGGTCCGGAAACCGAAACATTAAAATCATAGGGCCAAGGACCCCTGAGGCGAAATCTCACTGGGGAGGTACGGCGAAACGTCAAGAATTTCTCTCAACAGTGTGGTTTTTTCGCGGCGTGGGCCCGGAACCCTCGACACCATACCAGAAGGCCCAGAGGCACTCGGAGGCTCGAGGGGAACAGGGGTCCTTCCGATCGTCGACCCTTCAAACCCTCGAGGCATGCTAAATGCGTCGATCCTCGATGCCCCCCTCTCTTCGATCCCGACAGACAGGCCGCCGCGCCGTCTTGCGCTGGATGGTGCGCACGCTCCACTGGTGGGTCTGCTGGTAACTCCGGAGGTCGCTCGCCTGGCCCGCGCGGGGCGCAATGGGCAGGCAACCTCGCCGCAACCCCCACCGTACCTTCCTGCCGCTGTTCACGGGCAGCGACGAAGATATCGGCTCCTACTTCGAGGTTCGAGCTGCAAATCACTTCCTTCGATGCCGCCGTCGCGCTTGCAGCAGTTGGTGCGCGTGCGTGCGCGCGCGTGTGTGTGTGTGTGTGTGTGTGTGCGCGTGTGTGTGTGTGCGTGCGTGTGTGCACGTGTGCGTGCGTGCTTGCGTGCGTGCGCGGTGTGCGTGTGCGTGTGCGTGTGCGTGTGCGTGTGCGTGTGCGTGTGCGTGTGCGTGTGTGTGTGTGTGTGTGTGCGTGTGTGCGGGTGTGCGTGTGCGTATGTGTGCGTGCGTGCGTGCGTTCGTTCCTCCCCCCTCCCAACGCAGAGCGCCGCGTCTTCTCACCTTCTCAGCCAGAGCCGCGCGCCGAGGCAGACAAACAATGCAGTCGGCGGTGGGTGGGGAAGTACGCGGGCGGGGCACGGTCCGCAGCGCAACCACCCAACACCCGAATGAACAACCCGCACGCTGCTCTTGGAAGCACCCAACCGCCAGGACCGGCCCCATGCCCGCACTCGTGGACCCAGCCTTTGCACAAACACGCGCGGCGCAAAACAACCACGGTGCTGCAGGCCAGGCGCTACCTTCAGCTCCTGCTGTGTGCGCGCTGTCTCGGCGAGGGTGGGTGTCAGTCGGCTCCGGGTGGCGTGATGGGGCGCACCTGCACCGCGAGACTCCGCATAAGGCTCACGGTAGCATGTGGGAACGCGGGTGGGTGAGAGAGCGTGTTTGAGCCACACGTGCGCGCGTGTGCAAAAGGGGAAGGAGGGTAAAAGAGGCCACGAAAAGGGCAAGCAGCAGGGCCAGAGTGGAGAAGCGGAGAGGAGGCAAAAGGCCAGGCAGGAGGCGGAGGAAGGGGGGGAGGGGAAGGAGAAAGGGGAGGAGGGCAAAAGGGGGCCACGAAGAGGGCAGGAAGCAGGGGCAGAGAGGAAAGGCGGAACGGAGACACAGGAGGAGACAGGAGGCAACACCGCGCCACTCCACACAGCGCAACACATCCCTCGTCGGGTGTATGCTTGTGGGAAGGCGCAATTATCCCACTCGGTTCAACGACGTATGCTCTCTCGACGGCTGGCTCGGAAAAAAAGATCTCCCGCCAGCCCTGGCAAAACGAACGTGGCCTGCCCCCTTCGGTGTGCACGCGCCACATGCACGCCGGGGCAAGTAGACATGTATGGCTTCACTATACAAAGTTCTGCCAGAAAGAACTGAAAGAGATGCGGTTTCACAATACAAGTTCCACGGCGAAGAACTAAACATGTTAAGGCTCTCCCCTGGGCGCTAAGCGTGAGCCAGGAAGCGCAAAGTTAGCATGTCATGTACGATCGAGTGCGTGCGCGTGAGCTAGCAAAGTTATCGTGAGCACGAGTCTGTGCGTCTGTGTGTGTCGGTCCTTTTTACCTGACAGCGAAGACTGATAGGTTTCCAGTGGTCCCAAAAGAGAGCATCATGACTCCCCAAGGGGGTCTGGGCAGATGCCGGACGGGTGCCGCGGGAATCCGGGGAGATCTGGGGACTCCGCAGAACACCACTCCCAGGCCACATTTTGAACCAGAACACCATTCCCAGGCCACATTTTGAATGCCCGGAGCCAACTGTAGGCAACTTCGTGTTCTTCGTGTTCCCAGAACACCACTCCCAGGCCACATTTTGAATGCCCGGAGCCAACTGTAGGCCACTTCGTGTTCTTCGTGTTCCCAGAACACCATTCCCAGTCCACATTTTGAATGCCAGGAGCCAGCTGTAGGCCACTTCGTGTTCTTCGTGTCCCCAGAACACCATTCCTGTACCATATTTGATTGCTCGGAGCCATCTGTGGGCCACTTCGTGATCTTCGTGTTCCCAGAACACCAGTCCTGCGCCATGTTTTGAATGCCCGAGCTGAGGCAGGCTGAGACCGAGGCAGGCTGAGGCTGAGGCTGAGGCACGCCGAGGCAGGCTGAGGCTGAGGCTGAGGCTGAGGCTGAGGCAGGCTGAGGCTGAGGCCGAGGCAGGCTCAGGCCGAGACAGGCTGAGGCTGAGACTGAGGCTGAGGCTGAGGATGAGGCCGAGGCACGACGAAGCTGAGACAAGGTGAGGCTGAATGGGGAGGGGGGGAGGGGGGGGGGGAGGAGGGGAGGCTGAGGCAGGCTGAGGCCGAGGCAGGCTGAGGCGGAGGCAGGCCGAGGCTGAGGCTGAGGCAAGCCGAGGCAGGCTGAGGCTGAGGCTGAGGCTGAGGCTGAGGCTGAGGCTGAGGCAGGGGCTGAGGCAGGGGCTGAGGCTGAGGCAGGCTGAGGCTGAGGCTGACGCAGGCTGAGGCCGAGGCAGGCTGAGGCTGAGGCTGAGGCAGGCTGAGGCTGAGGCCGAGGCAGGCTGAGGCTGAGGCAAGCCGAGGCAGGCTGAGGCTGAGGCTGAAACTGAAGCAGGCTGAGGCATCCGTAGGAATTCATAGGCATGCTTAGGAATCCCTAGGCATCCTTAGGAATCCGTAGGCATCCTTAGGAATCCGTAGGCATAATTAAGCATCCTCAGGAATCCTTAGGAATCCTTAGGATTCCCTAGTAATCCTTAGGATTCCATTGGATCCTCAGGCCGTTGTCACTGCGACTGTCATTGCGAATGCGACTGCGACTGCGAGAACAGCAGAATTCTACAACTGGATTCTCACCTGAATCTTCAAGGGAATGCTTCCAGATATGCTTATACACATCGCTGTTAGGTTGCTTTGCCGGGACAATTATGTTCGACACTTTCGCTTCTTGCGGAGCAGTGGTTTGGCCCCCCGACGCATCCAGCCCAACATGCGTTCATGTGTTTGACGACGTCCCTGTTTTTCCCGGAAAGGGCGCGGGCCCAGGGTTCTCTTTTAGTAGGTTAACCCCCCGGCCCCCCTGCGACTTGGGCCGGCGAAATTATTCTGCGATAAATTACGCGCGGGAAGAGGGCCGGCGAAATTATTTTTGAGGATGTCTCGAGCGAAACGCTTGTTTTTCAGAATTTGTTGAGGATGTCTCGAGCGAGACGCTGGTTGTGCAGAGTTGGGGATGTCTCGAGCGAAACGCTTGGTTTCAGAATTTGTTGAGGATGTCTCGAGCGACACGCTGGTTTTGCAGAGCCGACCGCGACACGGAAAAGCGCCCCTCGCGCAGGAATTCTGAGGATGTCTCGCGCGTGCCGCGTCCCGCGCGCGGGTATTTGGATTTCTTGAGATTTTGACAGGATGTCTCGAGCGAAACGCTTGTTTTTCAGAATTTGTTGAGGATGTCTCGAGCGAGACGCTGGTTTTGCAGAGTTGGGGATGTCTCGAGCGAAACGCTTGGTTTCAGAATTTGTTGAGGATGTCTCGAGCGACACGCTGGTTTTGCAGAGCCGACCGCGACACGGAAAAGCGCCCCTCGCGCAAGAATTCTGAGGATGTCTCGCGCGTGCCGCGTCCCGCGCGCGGGTATTTGGATTTCTTGAGATTTTGACAGGATGTCTCGAGCGAAACGCTTGTTTTTCAGAATTTGTTGAGGATGTCTCGAGCGAGACGCTGGTTGTGCAGAGTTGGGGATGTCTCGAGCGAAACGCTTGGTTTCAGAATTTGTTGAGGATGTCTCGAGCGAAACGCTGGTTTTGCAGAGTTGGGGTATCTAACATGGCGTCGGGCCCAACGCCGAATTATGAGGAAAAGTGATGGCTTCTTGCTCTGAACAGGGGGGTGCGCTTTGGGGGCCTCTCCAGGGAAGACGTTGTGAGGATGTCTCGAGCGGGAGCGCGAATTCAGCGTATCCAAGTCACGCAGAGGGGTATCTAACATGGCTGTCCCGAGCTGGAACCACGTGTTTTTTCATGCTCAGGCCACCCAGGGAGATCTCTAACATGATTGTCCCGAGCTGGAACCACGTGTTTTACGTGTCCAGGCCACCCAGGGGGTATCTCTCATGGTTGTCCCGAGCTGGCACCGTGTTTTTACGTGTCCAGGCCACCAACACGACGCTTGTCCCCAGCACGTTCTGTAGCGCGTCCCCTTGGCACGTCTCGCGGTGCGTCCCCGTGGCACGTCCCCTGGCACGTCGCCTGGCGCGTCCCTTGGAACGTTCCGCGGCGCGTCTTCCTGGCATAATTCCTTGTCAATTAGCTCTGCGGCAGCTACTTCGTGGACTATGTGCTCAGGCAGCTCGAGCTTAAGATCCAGATCAGTTCGGTCAGGACTCGGATGCAACGGAGGACTTGATCCACAACGCTGTAGAGCACAATCGCGGCATGGCACATCGCAGTTCAGCACGGCGCAGCACAGCACAGCCCTCGGCACATTACATCAAGATCGGTACACTCACTCAGCATTGCAACTTGGCACGTTCTTTGGCACGTTCCGTGGCGCGTCCTGTGGCGAGTCCCCCTGGCACGTCGCGCGGCGCGTCCCCTGGCACGTCCCGTGGCACGTCCATAATGCATTGGCACGTTCCGTAGCGCGTCCCCTTGGCACGTCCCGCGGTGCGTCCCCATGGCACGTCCCCTGGCACGTCGCCTGGCGCGTCCCTTGGAACTTTCGGCGGCGCGTCTTCCTAGCATGCCCCCCGTGAATTAGCTCTGGGGCAGCTACTATGTGCTCAGACAGCTCGAGCTTAAGATCCAGATCAGTTCGGTTAGGACTCGGATGCAAAGGAGGACTCGATCCACAACGCTATAGAGCAAAATCGTCACGTGGCACATCGCAGTTGAGCACGGCGCAGCACAGCACAGCCCGCGGCACGGTACATCAAGATCGATACACTCACTCAGCATTGCAATTTGGCACGTTCTTTGGCACGTTCCGTGGCGCGTCCTGTGGCGAGTCCCCCTGGCACGTCGCGCGGCGCGTCCCCTGGCACGTCCCGTGGCACGTCCATTGGCACGTTCCGTAGCGCGTCCCCTTGGCACGTCCCGCGGTGCGTCCCCGTGGCACGTCCCCTGAC